ATCATTATTATTATTATTATTATTATTATTATTATCATTATTATCATTGATGCTAAACTGATAGCAACAGCTGCTAAAATAATATGATACTAAGATTGATTTCATGTTATATATCAAATAAAATAATATAAAACAACAACTGATATCAATTAATAATAAAATAGTAATAAACTAAAATTAATTATTATTAAAAGATATGATTTTAAATATTATAACAATTACTTAATCCATAATGTACTAATTTAAAAGTATTGATTTTTTATTATATTAAAATTTAAACTGTAAGTAATTGAGCAAAAAGGAAAAAATAAAATTAGTAGGAAGTAAAAAAGTAAGAACAGAGTAAAACTGCCACAGTTCTATGAAGTAATGCAGCGAAGATTATTCATTCCTTCATTCATTCATTTAGACAATAAGTATCGTCCCGTTGCGCTCGCTCTCAGCACTGACTGAAACCTGTTCTGCACACTAAAATCTTGCAAATTTGCCTCAGATATTTGTGAAATTTGCTCAAATTTAAGTAACTGTGTTTGAATTTGTGTAAATTTGTTTCTATCTAAAATAATCAATTAATTTTCTTTTGTTTTCATCCCAAATAATTGTGTTTTTTTTATTTTAAAAGATAAAAAAATTAATTAATAACAAAAATTAAATTAAATTTTAAAAATGCAAAATTCAACAAGTAGAGACAAGTGCTTATAGCTGCTGATAAATACAAATAATACTTTGAGCGATTTATATTAAAATTGATGGATGCTATTTTTTAGGAGGACAGTGTTCATTCAGAAATCTTTGAGTCCTTCAACGATATATTATTTGATAAAATCTGAATTTTGATGATTAAACAGAGATAAAACTGCTTTTTTGATCATTTTATTGCATTAATTTTAAGAAAAAGAATTATACAAATTCGTCCAAATGAGTGAAAAATTTTCTCAAAAAGTTATTTCATTTTTAGGCTAAAAAATAGTTTTTTATTCAGTACAAAACTATATAAAAGCTTAGCTTCTGCAAGTAATAAAATTAAATTATGAAAGTAATAAAACTGCAAAATTCCACAAGTAGACAAGTTGTGACAATGTTCAGTAATGCGAATAATGAAAGAAATATATCTACAAAAAGCACAAAAATATTATAAATGACAAAGTTACTACTTATTCGGTTAATAATTTTAGCATAATTGTAAATGAATTAAAATCAAATATCCATCAAAGTCAGAGGTCAAAATTATCCAGCTCTTCTTCTACTAGAATTAAAAAGAAGAAAAGCTAAATAAAATAAAATAATAAGAAATATTTCGACACAAAACTTTTGCTAAAGTTTAAATGCTTCAATGTTTAAACTTTATTTACTTTCCTCTCAGTAATATCTATGCAAACATTTTTATAAATTGATTAATTAATTTATTTATCAGTTTGGATTAATTTTTCATAAATTATCAAAGATCTAATCATTACAATCAACCCTAAGACCAGTCTATTCACGTTAATTTCTTATCTAATGAATGAATATTACTTCAAGTGCTAAGAGTCTTTACTTTTGAACCTAACTTCATCCAAGGACATTTATATCAACTTTTCTCTAAAAAGACATTGGTAACTGATTTATCTCACTTCTGAAAGGTTAATAAATATTGGCACCTTGATGATACGTCGTGATTAATACTGATAACATCTAAATTTTGTCAATACTTATGATCATCTGTAATGATAATTACAATGACAATGATGTTTGTGAAAAAAAAGTAATAATAATTCGAAAAAGTACTATCTTTAGATGTGAAAAACTGATAACTGAACTCACAGTAATGCTATTAGCAATGGAATACTCTTAATAATTTATCATATATAACTATTTAAGTAAATACTTAAATGATTATGATGTCAATAGTAATTATTAAGAAAGATTTTAGAACTACTACAGTAGAAGATAAAAGTCGCAGTTCCGATTCGTTACGCTAAAAAAGATTAATGAATAAATATTCATGGAATCGAGATAAAGTTAATTAATTAATTCAAAAATAAAATGATGCTAATTAATTAGTCCGAAAATTTTTGCAAATTACAGAAATTATAATTTTATGTAAATTGATCAATTTTCATGAAAAAATCATGGTTTTTTATCTCGAAGTCGAAACATATTAATTGATAAAATGAAATAATATGAAATTAACTTTATTGCTTATTTATTTTGGTGCTAATTTTGATACAATAATAACAGTAGTTGAGGGAAAAATATTAAATATATGTAAAATTTTTAAATTAATTACTTTTAATTTGTAAGAGACAAATACTAAGTAATTAATTCAAATTGTGGTTGTCATTATTTATT